CAAAAATCATGAATCATTCTTGGTTCTGGGTTTGATCTTGTACTGCTAACTGCAGCAGCACATTGTTTATAATCAACTTCAGTTGCACTTCCTGCTTGTTTGAGCAAATAAATGAAACTTTAAGAAGCTTTTATTCTGGAATGTATTCATTGTCATTGTCATTAAAATGACAGATGACTTGATTATGAGTTGAAAATTCAAATTTAAGGACTTGGACTTGACTTGGACTTCCATATCATTGACTTTGGACTCGACTTGGACTTGGTTGTCTTTGACATGGACTTGACTCGAGACTTGACTGGAAAGACTTGTGACTTACTTGTGACTTGCAAAGCAGTGACTTGGTCACACCTCTGCAGAAAAGTCTCTTTTATGGGCCATTCCCATCTGTACCGGGTCGGCCCGGGCCGGGTAGCCCCAGTCGGCCCCAGCCTGGCCCGGTTGATTCCACACATCCTTGCCTTAAGCCCATGTGGGCTGATTCTACCCACCAATCAGAGGCTTGCTCTAATGGAAGGTGTGCATTTGCTGTCAGCAGTGGGTGTGTTGGCCCTGGTCGGCCTGAAGCAGACCCCCTCGAGAAGAGGGCTGAGAATGAGCCTTGGTTGGCCCGGAAAAATACCAGGCCACCCAGATATGTAAACAACCTACGCTACCCGGCCCGGGCCGATCCGGTACAGATGGGAATGGCCCATAAGACACAATAGCAGCCACAGGTCAGGTGGACCTGATGTATAACTTTAGTAAATACATCAGATATCTGCTCCAAGTGTCCCGATGTTTTTGAAACAAGTGGATCATTTTTTCACTTCTCCACTTTTAGTTGCACATGTGGGGCTTTTATGCATTACTGTGGGCAGAAGGGTGACAGGATGAACAGAGACAGCGTGGCTGTTTTCTAATTGGGCACAGAACTAAGGCCTAGTCCACACGTAGCCGTTTTTTTTTTAAACGAATATCCGCCCCTCCAAAAACTTGCATCCACACCACCTCGTTTAAAAAAAAACTCTGTCCACACCATGGCCCACACGTAACTGGATAAATACGTTGTTAAGGACATGCCAGACCTGTAGGCGGCAGTACTTCCCCCGTTCTTAACCTCGTCCTTCGTTTGTGGTCTTCCGCAAGGAGCAGTAATTCCGCTTGCAAAAACAAACACGCAAAAGGCGCTTGGACAATTGATAAAGCGAGCGCAGCTCTGAGGGCATCCATGCTGTCGGCTAGTGTAAACACAGGTCGCACACGTGATGTCAGCATTATTTTGTCGCGGAAAGTGACGTTGCGGACCTTAAAACTCCGGTTTTGTCTGTCCACACGCAGACACCCAAAACGGAGAAAACACAGTTCTTCACTTTGGCCGGAGTTTTTAAAAAGATCCGTTTTCGTGTGAAAAAACTCCGTTTTCGTGTGGATGACAGGCCAAAACGTAGAAAAATATCTACGTTTTGGCAGATCCCCGGCTACGTGTGGACAGGGCCTAAATGTCTGTGCAGCAGGAGGCCAGATTTTTCTCAGCTAAGATTAAAGCCTACTTTATAAATTCATGCTTTAACACAATTTTTTCATAGTTCCACAGTGAAAGTGTTGGGAAAAGTTGTGTTAATTATAATGCAGGGTGTACATTTGTTTGATCACAAATCAGCAGAACCACCCAGTGTGTCGTGAAGGGTCCCCAGACTCAAGCCTTCCTCCAACAGAGCTTATTGGACTGAGCAGAATGTTGTTTTATTATAGTAGGTTTTTGTTGGGGACGTATTCCCTCCATGAAATAAGCTAGATCAATAACAGCAGATTTATGGAACAAGGCATCTTTTTTAGCGTGCCTCCTGTGCAACTGCGGCTCATTACATCTCAGTTTTCTCTGTGGCTCAGAGACTGTTGGTGTCAAAGAAAACACGTTCTGTTCTGATTGCTAAGAAAAAAAAAAGATTTACTAAAGTAAAACAACAACAACCGCATTTTAAAATGCAATTTCCAGAAATACTGTCTTATATTTGTACCGGTACTCTGGTGGTACTCTAACGGCTGTTTGATTTATTTTCTGTTGTTATAATTTCACCAGTTGATGAGTTTTTTTCTGTTCATTTCCAGTGTGTGAAGACATGTAGATAAATAGGGTGTGGTGGATATATCAGAGTTGTTATAAATTGCTGTTAAAATGTCATATATCCATTTAACATATAAACAAGAACAATATATGGCCAAATGTATCCTTTATGACTTCTTACCGTTACTTTACTCATATTTTCAATTTTTTTTATTAAAATCTCCAATAGAATAAACTGAATAGACTTAAAAGAAGTTCCAATAAACATTTTCTTCTAAATACTCACTGATAATTTTATAATAATCCTTCTTTAAAGAGGACAAGAAGAAGAAACAAAGAAGCACACGACAGATGAAAACATCTTAGCGTATTCTGCCCTTGGAGATATTCCCACGTAAAGTCTCTCACTGGAGAGCGTGTGTGTGGACCACCTGTCTGTTTATGGCATGGAATCACACCATGTTTGCCCGCTGAATCTGTGAGCCTTAGCATTTTAGGTTATCTAGTGAGTCGAGAAGCAGTTTTCCCTGACAATTGCACGTTCTGTCATGAGAGCCTCTGATTCAGTTTCCCAGCACCGATCTGCGTTTTTGTGCCGGAATGTGGAATCATCGTGTTAAAAGGGAAAGGTTCTCAGGGAAGATGATAAATGTGGGAAATAGTGCCGGAAAAAAATCGATTCACGTCCAAATGGAGATTCTTATTTACGAAGATTCTGAATTAATCCAAAATTTCCACGTTTTGTTACTTGAGAAGGTGATGTATGGACTTCCATCACACCCACTCCTCCATCACAGACACCGCTCCATGACAGACCCCCGGCAGATTTCTAACTTACAGAAGAAATGAGTTAATCCTGGAAGTGGCACACAAGAGAAGAATTTGAATAGCATCTTCAAATCGAAGTTTCACACCCCTAGAAATAGTGGAATTGTGAAAAAAAAATGCCTTTTGGCCTTCAGAGCACCCATCCACTCTGTTTATTTCCATCTTGCGTAAAAATGCTCTCCTGCATAAATTATGACAAGAATCAGGAAGAAGACGGGAGGTTTGGTTGTCTCCATTTTAACAGGGGGACATGTTCAGTAGGGGATTTGTTATTGCGCTGTAAATGAGAACGGGATGCTCTGACACCATGACCGGCCGTCGTCTGTTGAGTTATTCTCTCTTTCCTCTGCCTGCTGTTTTGCAGAGACAGATAATTTATAATAGGGCCTCTAAACAATTACCCATATGTTCATTCTTAATGCGATTGAATGATTACACTTGTTATGTGGTGGCTTTTTAATTTATTGGATGTTAACTAAAATTTCCAAACTTCTAACTGCTAACTAAACATTTGCTCTCTGACACAAACCTTTCTATTCTCTTCTTCATCTCTGAAATCAATGGAAAGACTCCATTCTGCCTCCCTCTCGCTCTTTAAATTTCACTTTTTACACAATAACTTAATCATCAAATCAAATCAAAGCTTTATTTATAAAGCGCCTTCCGCAACCCTGTCAGGAAGCCCAAGGCGCTTTATGAACAACACAAAACAGGTTAGTGACAGTTGTTGAACGCACATTTAGCTGTAAGGTAGATGCGTTCACTCATTTTGAACAGGAAGTAGCTGATTGTTTCTATCAGCTTCACCTCTAACACCAAGACTAATTTAGTTTTCACAAACATTTAGAGGATTTTATGTTTTATTCAAGGTTCTCATCAAGAACAGAACAAACTAAAAGCAGCATTTTAGCTTCTTTTGTTTTCAGTTGTTTCTTCTAATAGAAATACAAATGATTTCATAACAGAATCACTTCCTGCAGAAAGCTTGAAAGCTTTTCATCTTCAGGTTGATCATAAAAACAAGTTTGTTTGAGATTTTATTTTCAACCTTAAAGACTTTTAGACCTTCAAATAGTGCAGGAAAGAAACCTAGCTGTTTGACTAATACTTTTCTTCTCCGTATTTGAATTTCACAGAATAAAACCCTCAATAAATATTTTAGGCTGACTGATTCGTGGTCCTAATGATCCCATTACTCTGCAGGCAATTATTAGATGTAAGCAGGTGCCACAGTGATGGAGATAAATGACTTTATTGTAGAAATCCATGTAAAACTGAAGACTTTAGTTCACTTGCCTTTGCTGCATGAATGCATGTGTTGTGGAGTGTTAACGCGCTTTAGCTGGAAAGAAAAAGACAAGTTTACAGTTTTGTGCATGAACGTTTTCCAAAGATGTGACTGAGGCCTGCCTCACAAAGGGAATGTCCAATATTTTAGTTGCTTCTGTTAACGCAGATGAGGATAGTTTACATATAATTAAATTAGAAAAATGTAACGTGACTAAATTCCTCCCAGCTGATGGACGGCGTGCTAAGCGCGGCGTGGTCAGGTGTCCTCATGTTCCTGAGGCGATGGTAAGGGTTTGCCGACGTAATCGTCAGCAGCCTCTGAAAGCTCCTCAGTGTGATTAGCATACAGCAATAGGGTTTATTAATGGCTTTCACACCTACCTGCTGTGTTGGCCTCTTTGTGAGAACACTTTGCTGTTTCACAAAATTTATGGCAGTCTTTTTATTGGTGCAGATGGTAAAATATGCCAAGCGCTGAAGGGACATTCCTCTGCACCCCTAATGTTTTCTAGCGCCTGCTGTGTTTGGGTGCTGACTGAATGTTCCCTTGTGTGTTTTTGAGCTGCAAGTCTGGTCAGAAACTTTATTTCTGCTAATGTTCTACTGGAGCAATCTGAATAAAGTCAGTTCATAAATGCACCCATGTGAGACAGGCCTCTAGAATAGGTGTTGTGGGGGGTTTTTCTGCTTATTTTTCCTTCAGTTGGATCAGTGTGTGTTTATTGTGTGTATTTAGTGTTTGATTACATGTGTGTTGAGTTGGAGTCCATTTATTTGTTATTATATTTGTGGTTTTATTGTCCTCACTACTTGGCTCTGGCCCTTCTTCCTTCAGGACAAGACGAGCGCTCTGAGCCTCAGCAACGTGGCGGGAGTTTTCTACATCCTGATCGGGGGGCTGGGCCTGGCCATGCTAGTGGCTCTGGTGGAGTTCTGCTACAAGTCCCGGACCGAGTCGCGCCGAATGAAGGTGTCCACCGCACGAGCTGCTGCAGCCACAGCCGCTCAGGCCTTTCACTGCTCAGCCTTAGAAAGTGGTGCTAGCGCCACCTACGCAGAGCTGCAGAGCTACGGCCTGTACGCCAACAACACTGTTAAGATATAAGGGCAGAGCACGGCCATGGGGTAGGAAATGCTGCGATGTAACCCTGATGATGATGCATTTGCCTCCACCCCGTCCTGCCCATCTACCCGTGACAGCAGTAGGGCCACTCATGGCTTCCACCGCAGTGCCAAAGCTCTCCTGTACCCTCTCTCTGCCTCTGCCGCTTCTTTGCTCAGTCTTTGTCACAGATTTACAGTGTCTGGAAATCACTTGATTTTAAAATTGCCATTATGCCTGTTCATCGTGCTTTCTTGAGATTCCAACATCCTAACATTTGGGCTAGTCCATGCCAGTTCAATGCACTTTTTACTATGTTTAATCTTTCTTTTTTTTTTTATTGTGATCCTTTTTTTATGTTAATTGTGAGTCCCTGTGGCTTGAACATCCCAAATTGTAGAACCACTGGCATACATTTAATCATGGAGCGCTTTATTTACACATTCATGCCTTTATTACAGTTGTAGACCACTTTTAACATAAAAAATATTTAATGTATTAACAAAAGTATTTTTTGTCTTTGTGAATTTAGCATTTCCCCTTTGACAGTTATTGCACATTTGACTTTACATATTTATTTGACCGATTTGAGCAAGATTTAAGCAGTTGTAGCTTTAAAACTGCATATATCCCTTAAAAAACAGATATGAATAAAAACAAATGACTGCAGTACTGATGCAACAAAGTAATGTTTCATCCTTTACCAGAATTTTTGCATGTGGCGCATACTTGTATGTTTTGTATTACAATCACCCAGATGAAATTTAAAAATAAATCAAAAAACAAATTAGTAATATTTCTGCCACATTGGAAGGTGGGGAAGACCCAAAATACACACACAGAGATAAACTTTGTCGAATACAAAGATTTTGTTATTAAAATAAGTCGAATCAGTTAAAGGTGCATTATGTAAGAATGAAGTAAGAATGACATCCAGTGGTCAAATGTGGTAACTGCAGGCCATTTTGTCAACACCATGACCCGAATTTCACAGAAGAAGAAAATATAATTTCTATAGCGCCTCTCACGATAAAAATCACGAGGAGCTTCACAAAAACAAAAAATTTAAAAATATAAAAAAGCATTTAGAAAATGTTTAAAAATATGTTTAAAATGATCAAAAATAGACAATTGGGATTTAAAAGAAAAAATGTTAAGAGAGAGAGTGAACAGGAAAGAGGGAAATCGGTGGATCCTGAGGAAGGTGGAATAGGTGGGGAGAGCAGAATAAAGAGAGAGGAGTTGAAGAAGGTCATACAAAAGCCAGCTTGACCAAGTGAGTCTTCAGCTGCTTTTTGAAGGAGACCACTGAGTCCACTGATCTCAGGCTCAGGGGGAAAGAGTTCCAGAGTCTGGGGGCCACAGCAGCAAATGATCTGTCACCTTTGGTCTTTAGCCTGGTGCTGCACAACCAGTAGGCTTTGGTCACTGGTTCTCAGGGACCTGCTGGGGGTGTAGGGACTGAGAAGATCACCCATGTAAGATGGTGCTTGTCCATGTAAGGCCCTATAGACCAGAACCAGGATCTTGAAATGAACCCTGAAGTTGACTGGCAGCCAGTGAAGCTGGAGGAGAAGCGGGGTGATGTGGGTGTGTTTGGAGGACTTGGTCAGAAGCCGAGCACAGGCATTCTGAACCACCTGTAGACGGTTCAGGGAGGTTCTGCTCAGACACGTGAAAAGAGAGTTGCAGTAGTCTAAGCGTGAGGAGATGAAGGTGTGGAGAACTGTCTCAAGTTCAGAGCGGGACAGATTGGGACTCAGCAATGTTACTGAGATGGAAGAAGGAAGAGCGAACAAGAGAACTGACATGAGAATCCAGGGTGAGAGCTGGGTCAAAGGTCACACCAATATTCCTGACAGAGGGTTTGGTGTGAGTAGCAAGCTGACCAAGAGAGTCTCTGACTTTGGGAACCAGCTTGTCTGGGGCACAGATGAGGATCTCAGTCTTATCTTCATCCAGCTGTAGAAAGTTCCCAGCCATCCAGGTTTTGATAGAGTCTAAGCAGGTGTGTAACAGCTGCAGCTTAGACATCTCACGGGGCTTAAAGGAGATGTACAGTTGGATGTCATCTGCATAAAGATGGTAGGAGATTCCTTTGAAGGAGCTCAGGATGTGCTGAAGAGGAAGCAGATAGAGGAGGAAGACCAGATGCCCCAGCACAGAACCTTGTGGGACACCATGGGTAAGAGAGGTGGTGGAGGATCTAAACTTGGAGATGGCCACAGAAAAGGAGCGCTCAGAAAGATAAGAGGAGAACCACTCCAGAGCAGTTCCTGATAGGCCTTTCCAGTCTCTCAGCCTCTCCAGTAGCAGGTGATGGTCAACAGTGCCAAAGGCTGCAGTCAGGTCCAGCAGGACCAGAACAGTCCCCTGCATCACTGTGAGTCAGAAGGTCATTAGAGACCCTAAGAAGAGCTGTTTCAGTAGAATGAGCTCTACGAAATCCTGACTGGAAGCTATCATAGATGTTATGTTCATCAAGAGCAGCTGTGAGTTGTTTAGCCACAACCTTTTCCAAGATTTTGGAGATGAACGGAAGTTTAGAGCTGGGTCTGAAGCTGCTATGGAGAGAGGGGTCGAGACTCGTTTTTTTAAGAAGCGGGTGGATTACAGCGTTCTTAAAGTAAGCAGGGACCTGACCAGAGACCAGAGAAGCATTAATTATAGAGAGCACACTGGGACCGATGGACTGAAAAGCACTTTTAAACAAAGATGAGGGTAAGATGTCGAGGGGGCATGCAGAGGTCTTCATAGAGTTAACACAGTTAACACAGCTGTTCCAGCTACAGCTCAGCGCCAGCAGATTCCAGATGATGAGTGAAAACGAATCTCACACAGTCAGTCGATAAGCAAATAAAAACATTTCACCGTAACATTGAAATGTTGGTTAATGAAAGAGTAGCTTTTTAGAGCTGACTTGTGTGTCATGGCCAACATACATTTTCATATTTTAATTTTAAAACAAAGCCTGGCACATTTTAAATTAAAACACAAAGAAACAAAGGCCAGCACAAGATGCTTTCACCTTACAGCATGTCACCAAATTATGAACTGTTTAATGTCATAATATACAATTTAAGTCTGATTTTCTGCATCGTAGGTTTCTATTTATATTCAGCTCACAAATGTTCCAAGCAGGGTACTTGTTAAATCCCATTACCAAACTCATTACTGTAATCTTTTGTACCCTTTTCATAAATTTGACTTTCAGCACAGGTATAAAGGCAATTTGAATCACAGTGGTACATCAATCTACCTCTGTCGCTCTGAGCAGTTCTGTCCCCTCCTCTCTTTTTGCTGACTGCAGGGCCCATTGTGGTGAACATCGTTTCTATGTAAACCACGAGGCAGTCGTGGTTCGGCTCGCATGTCTTCCATCACCGCTTCAGCCTAAAACCCAATAAATCTACCTTGTTGTGTGTTCAGAGATGTGAAATTGAGGACTTGTTGCTTCACTCTTCACCAGAAGATGTGAGGTTCTTCCATCAGTATTTTTATGAGACTGTAGCTTTTAGATGTCTGCTTCATGGATCAATTTGCAATAAATGCACCTTTGGTTTAGTCATCCAACATCAAAGGACACACTCATATACTCTTAACTAAGCAAACACATACATGGCAGCGCCGAGACAAGGGAGGAACTTCTGCATGAATCATTCTATTGTAATCAGCCCACGACGAGGCACCTGATCAGCATGCTGATGAAACTAGCGAGGAGGCTGAGTCCAGTGGTGCCTTTGTGCTGCTTGCTTTGAAGGAATCAACAACACAGTTCCAATTAGAGGCTGTTATGATTCTCCAATCCCCTTGCAGCACTTATCAGTTGCTGAAGATCACTCTTGCTCTGCCCAATTTAATCAGGTGCTGAACGGGGGATGCGGACAAAGACGCACATGTCAGCAGGAACACACACAGGCATCACACATCATTAAGTCAACTTTCAAGCCTTCTGCCTTTTATCACGCTAGCCTGGAGAACGACACTACTGAACCAACAAGTGGAGCCTCAGCTCTGATCTTACTACCCACACGTTGCTCTGCACCTCTTTTAACAAATCAGCACATCTGATAGACAGAGACCTGCATCACCTGCAAATATTTCTTATGTGACACATTGCTTAACAATTTACCCTTACCTATCCATGTGCTGCAGGCTCTAACAGTTGCATTAGCCGTCTGTGTTTCTCTCTAGCTTGCTGGACTGCAACTGTTGATGACAAGCTTGGTGACATGTTTGAAACACTTGTTTAATCTCAAAGTAGTCACTAAAATCCTTCTCAATATGGTTTATCACAGGCATAATTTACGTAGACACCCCGCGGACTGGCACTGCCTATTGGAGCTAGCGTAGTAGCGGGCCGCCATCTTGAATGAGTTCCCTTTCACCTCCGCTGCATTTACTTCTACTGAGGAAGGTGATCAGCCACCTACAAAGACATTTTATTATGCTTTTTCACAAAATCAGACACATGCTATGTCATGATAATTAAAATGTAAATATAATTATAGGTTGAATGTGAAACAATTTATTTAAAAGCTATATACTTTTTTAAAGAATACCCACACAGGGTGTGGAGAATGAAGTTTTTCCTTTAAAAGCTAAAAAAATAATCAAAGATTTATTTTTGACAGGCTTATGTTTACACCTACCAGCCAGTAGTGGCCACCATTGTGGGTTGCTTAATACGGTGAACTTTGCACTCGGCACAGCCACAGACATCATATACAGTACATAGGGTGTTTCTCAATGTCAAGGCGCCTGGCCTTGCGAGGCAACGTCTTGCGAGGCCAGGTGTCTTGCTTACGAGGACACTGTCCTTCCTTGGTCAAAGAAAATGGCTAAATGGAACAGACTTGCGTGGAAGTCGCTGTCACGTAATGTCACATGACACGGGAGATAACGTATATTTTATATGTATTAGTTTCAATATAAATATATAATGAGCCTTATACTTTTTAAATTAAATAGATAACTTATTTGGATCTAAAGAAAAAATATTTTAAATTAGCTGGCTGACTTTGAAACTTGAAATTTGTCCCCGAAGTAGCTGCTGGCTTATGATTCACCGTCTTTTTCAAAATACAGCGGTGCATTCTGGGTAATTTTTGACCAAGGCTAGGCTACAAGACACCTCCCGTGTATCCTTGCTAAGCTAGCTAAACGGCTAAGAAACGGAGAACACACGCCTCGGTAGAACATGAACACTGGAACACAACTTAGCGGCTCCTGATGACGTATCTCCTAGGCAACCGGGGCTGGGCCAAGACTTCAAGGCGAGGTTCTTTGGCATTGAGAAACACCCATAGACACCCTTGGTGTAGCCATAGTGGCCAGACGCCATCTTGGATGGGTCTCCATTCACCCCCAGTACATTTATTTCTACTGAAGAATGTGTTTATCCGTCCAAAAACACATTTTAGGTAGGGGTAGGCAAAGGTCTTAGATGTGGCCTAGATCCGGTGTGCATTGTTGATCGTTATCCTCGGCAGTTCCTGCAGTGATAGTGCATGAATACAGTGATCTGCAGCAGTGACTGCGCTCAAAAACTATTTGGTGGTTTAACCCTCCAATCCAGTCCAGCTGAGTGTCAAGCAGGGAGGCTGTAGATCACATTTCTAGTCTTTGGTATGATCCGACATGATTTGAATCCCAATCTCCCAGTCCAGGATGGACACTCATACCACTAGGCTGCTGAGAAGTGTGGCTGGTTTCTTTTCTCTTGTCAGTCTTAATGGTGCATTTATACTATGGTCTGGTTGGTCCGGCCCTGGTAGGATCAGCACATTCACATTACAATGTAAACACAACCTGGCTGCAGGAGGGAGGGCCGTACCCACCAGATCCATGCTGAGCTGACCATGGTGTAAATGTGCCTTTTGCTGGTAACCTGTCCAGGGTGTCTCCTTCCTCTCGCCTGATTACCACTAGAGGTAGACATCAGCTCCAGTGGATGAATTGATAGATGGATGAATGGATGGATGGAATGATTTTGGAGAGCTATTTCCCCTCCATATCAAAAGGTGTTAGTTTGGGTTGTTTGTGCATTTGAGTAAGACAGCTCTAGGTCACCTCTCTTTCTAGGTTTTTCAGGCATGTCACCCATAGGGGAGACCCCTGAACAGACACAGACCTGGCTGGAGGAGTTATATGTCTTCTACAGGATTCTTCAGGAGAAGTTGGAGAGGAGAGAGATACTTAATGACTAAATCAAACATGGAATTTGAGCAATTTTGAATGTTTTAACTATGCAAAATTGTTGTAAAGACCAGTTCAATGATTCTAACTGAAAACGTGTGTATTTTCTCACAATTTTGTGTCTCAAACTAGTCGCCAACAGTTGCAGCCTAGTGAGGTACATGCTTTATAAAGTCTGTGCTACCCGGCAGATACCAGGTGTGCAGGCTAACTTGAACCTGTTTGTTTCCGGCAGCAATCCATCAACGACGCCATGCGCTGCTCCACCTTGACCAGGATGAGTGGTAATGGGAGCGGAGGAGAGAATGGACGAATCCTCACCCACGACTTCCCCAAGACCGTTCAGACACTGCCCTGTATGAGCCACACAGCCAGCATGGGACTGGGTGCCTCCGGCATGTGACTGCCATCTTACTGTGCCGGCGGCAACCAACTGGCCTGGTGGGGCCAAAGACGAGCACAGGACTCCGATGACCTCAAAAATCCTGGCTTGACCAATCTACTCTCCTGGCTGTTGATGTGCCCTATTTAAAAAGAAAAAACTTACAGCCAAAATGCACTCTCAAACCGCTCCTGACAAACTATGAACAGAGACACTCAACATTTTTTTAATTATTATTTTAAACCAATGGATGTTTAAAAAGATATTGAGAACAAAGAAAGGGAAATTGTGCTGCAATAAAGAAGCTGTCAGTGGGGCGTGATGAAGGATTTTTTACAGTGTTCGTTTATGTGGAAAAAATAACTTTATTCTTCAGTGTGTCGACTGCGCTGTGCCATTTTTATGGAGCTGTTGACTTTCGTGTGCATTACTCACCGTCACTGCTGACATTGTGCTACATGCTTTCCAATGGCACGTGTCTTTTTGCACAAATGTCGCAGAAATAGATGATTACTTGTGACTGCTTTTATCAATCTGTTTATGGAACATTTCCCTTTGCTTTGACTCACGTTTTTCACAAATTACTTCATTTTCTAAATGCTCTGTTCGATGCACCCAGTTTTATTATGAAACGTGGTGTACAGCGTTGCAACAGAGGAGAACCTCAACAGAAGTGGTTTGGTTAATCGTCAGATGAACGTTGTGTGAACCAGCAGCTTGACCAGGCTACAACAAACACACATTGCTGCTAAGCTTCGTAGAACACATCACGCCTTGTCGTACATCCTCACAAATGCACACAGATCAACTTTAGTCACAGGTACAGTTTTACGGACCAGAGAAACGGAGGTCACATTTAAAACATCCACAAAGGTTAATGTGGGTAAAGAAATGAAGAAAGCAAATATTGTACAGTACTGAGGGACCTTACACTGTTTAGTACTGCATGCCCACTGATAAACACGCAAGTTTATTTGCAACCCAAGTTAAAAAGCATAGATTGACTAATCAAAATTTTATGTGAAGAAAGCACCATTCCCAGTACATTACAATGTAGTTTTAGTTGTATTTCTTTGAATGAAATTAACAGCCTTTACAGTTTGCTGAGAATGGCCCAGGGTGAGGGTTGCCGTAAATACCAGGGAAGTTAGCTTCATCTCATTGTTGCTAGCTAAGGAGGTGGTACAGATAGGGGTTGGTAGGACTGGCACAAAGAAAGGTATATGTTGCATTTGCAATAATGTCCACTGTTCAAAAGTGAAACCAAAACATCCTTGGGCAATGATGTTTTGTATTTCTGCACCCTTGGCCAATATTTAAGTATCAAATAAGACAATACATCAAAATTCATTAATACATATCTGAGCATAAAGCAGCATGGTTTGATTCACTCAAACATGAGTCAACTACTAGAAAAATCATCTGATGTGTTTTTTGTTTCTTAGTCACAACAAAGCCCCCTTCATTCACACCCAAGCTCCCATAACTCTGCAACAAATTTGAAGTCAATGAAGAAGTGGCAAAAATCGTAGTTCCACCCTCCTCCACTAGGGGCTGGCAGCAGAAGAGAGCAAATCCTCTTTGACTCCCATGTTAAAAAGGCCCAATTCACAGCAGAAATAAACATGTTTACAGCCTGGTTCAAAAAAACCATTTTAGGTTTAATAGATCTAGTTTACACTCATGACAAGTCTGAGGGAGGTACATTTTTTGTAACTCTTCTGTTCAAGTGGAATTTAATGCTTAAACATTTGAATGAGCCTCCACATGACTTCAGAGCTAGCTCTGGAGAAAGGCCTCAGCCTGGGCCTCACGTTAATAGATGTTCGGCTATTTTGACTCTCTGAACTTTAGTTTTGTCTGTGTTTGTGTTCGTGTTTGGATGTTAATCGTGGAATTAGTTGGACAAAAGGTCAAGCTGTGGTTACTAACAGATCATCCAAGCAGTTTGTGCTTCTTTTCATCAGTAAGTAAAAATAGATTTCTGTACTTTATTTTGTCGGTTGAACGGGGGAAATGCTGCCATTGAAGTGCTTGGTCAAACATGTTAGTGGAGCTGCAGAAGAACCTTGAGCAGGTGCCCAGCTTCTCCTGTCTCCTGCCTGACAATAGCAAGCGGCTGGCTGTTCCCGTTTCCCGGGGCAGCCGGGCCGGCTCCGAAGCGAGGCTGTAGTCACGCTGGATCTCTGAGAGAGACCACAGAAACACCACAGCAAACATCTTTTGGTTGACGCTGCTTCACTTTTGAGTCGCTCAACAACATTTTTCATGCTGAAAACGCCCGGAAAAACTGTTAGCTGTGGGTAAATATGTAGCAAATGTCCCGCTGATCTCCGGCTCCCAGAGAAGGGGCCATCAACAATGGCGGACACGCAAATCTTTCACCGCGATGGACCAACGAAGCTTGATGTCCTTGGTCAGCTTACCTAGTTATGAATTTGTTAATAAGAAGGCCAGAGGTGCCTTTACTGTGGAGTCGCTCTACGGTGTATTTTTTATTTATTTAATTTTTTTATCTTTTATTTGCTGGAAACGGCTGGTAATACTCTGTTAGCTTCAGGTTAGCCTGTAGCTAATGTCCGGCTTATCTCCGACCATGGAGCAAGAGCTGACATAAAAGGTCATGTGTCCGGCTGCGATCGCACCGGTCTGAGGATCCACTTCTAATTTAACAGTCCCAGTCCATATTAGATCTCCACAGGTGATCAGCATGACTACAGCTTTGCATGGGAGCCAGTCTGCCATGCGGGTGGGATGTTCCACTCCAAGAAGCCCTTCTTAGCTTCTTGGGTTAGCTAAGTTAGTTAGTAGCTACACTGGTTCATTTGTTCTAACCCTTTTCCAAACGCAACAGCCCCACCCTTAGCTCCACCTCTTTTCCCATTTTTGGATTGTCTGGGCGTGGCGGGACCTGTGACACGGTGAAAATAACGGTGGTGGGAACCTCCCATTTGGGAACAAACACCTTTAATTTGAGTCTATGGACATGAATTGTCCAGGATGTATGTCAATGTTCCCACCAAGGGAACTGTGTACTGGGACCTGCCACTAGGGGGCATTCACTTTGTTTAATTGCTGTCTTTCTTTGCTGTGTTCAGTCATACATGCCAATGTGAATCAGAGATTAAGCTCACTGTTGATGAGTAACATTTTAGCCGAGGAGTTCTTCCTCTCACAACATGTCAAGGAAAGAAATTCAGATGTCTGGGTAAAAGGATTTCTCAGGAAACCAGCACCCTGGATTTTGCCTGTGAGCAGTTGACCATTTTCACATAGAAAAATGGGTAGATTGCTATGATTTAGGCATTTAAACACATTTGAACCAGCATCAGGTTGCTGCTACTCTGTTTTCATCTGGATTCTTTATTTGTGGCAAAAGCAGAAGCTGTTGTCACCAGTGACGTCTGGTTTACTTACATAATACTTCTGCATGATTAATCATGCAAATTATTATACAAATATGGAGATGTTTTCAGACTGTTGTCACCTAATCCATTTAGTGACACTGCTCAGATGTGCAGATCTTATCAACCTGCTTAGAAAAAATACTTAGTTTTAGTCAGTTTTATCCTAAAATCTTTCCTTTTTATAGTGGAATGCACTGATTTATTTTTCTAATAATTATGATTATTTTCACGCTCCTACAGTGGAAATTTCCCTGTGGGCTCATTTGAATTCTGACAGCAGCTCTGCTTTCGTTATATAAAGAAATTACCCTAAGATGTTAATTTGCCACTTCATGAGCATTCTCCATTTTTTTATTTTTGACAAAAGAAAAGTTCCGGGCAAAAGATTTTTTTACAAAAAGGAGCATCATCTTGTTTGGCAAAATCAGCAACAAACCATTTACTTTCAGTTAACAAACCATTTTGAATGGCTTATTTTGATGAAACTCTCAGTTTATGGCCTGTTAATGTAAGAATTTCAGCATTGGTAATAACCACCTAATAACAGCTTAATAATGACTAATTAAGACTTAGTAGTCCACTAATATGCATATTAATTGGTAGCTAATTTATGGTTAATTTGTGTTCCCTAAACTAAAGTGTTACCCAAAAAACATAATAGGGTTTTAAAAAGCACCATTCTCGTATCCCTGTAAAGCCTAAATAGATTACGTATAAACATCTGTGAAAACCTGTCAATATAAAATTTTTCAGCCTGAGGTTGAAGGAAAACCGTTTGTTCAGGAGCACACTGACTGTAATCGGCATCACTCAGACTTGGTATTAGTGAGTTTAAAAGTGTGAATGGTGTGTATTGTTACTTAAAGTTGACTGAAATGGAGTTTTTCCTGCTGCTGGGTACCTGAGGTGAGCCTTAGCTTTTGAAGCGCACATTCAAACTGACCTCTCATTTCAAAGCAAAGGCCTAGCGCCGGACCAAGGCAGCGCCGTCATCTCCTGCTTCCACGTTTGGCTGTGCATTTGGGTTTTTGTGTCTTTTTGATTAAAAAAGAACTGAAAAGAAAAAAAAACAACAACACATGGAACCAATTTTTATGTGACTTCTCTCAACTTAGTCATGCAAGCATGACGACCGGGCAGTCAAAGTTTACTGAAACCACACATATCCTGTCAATGTATATAAATGGATTTTTATCACCCTAAAACATTTGGTCTTCTTACAAAACAACACATCAGTGTGCCAGAATTATTTTCCGTGTGAATACTTTACTTTCTTTCTTCATATGTGTCCTTGCATTATTTATTTATTTTGCTGATGATGTAATAATAGTCTATAGCACACCTTGGTAAATAGGTTTTATAAGGCAAAAAAAGAAAAATATGAAAGATTTCTAGAAAAAAATAAATGATTAAACAAAAAGGGATTATGTGTTTGGGAAAAGTTGTAATACTAGAATAATGGCACTTTGACATGTATAAATACACACATACACACACGCTCAATGGCCCACAGATGCGTAACATGTTTTATTTTACTTCAATATGTCACCATTTGAAAAAATTTGGTGGTTTTTTTAAGTGCTTAAAATTTTCAAATCATGTGATTTTGTTTTGTTTTCGTATTTTATTACAGCAATCTAAACTTGGTTTGTTCACCAGAGCAATTCTTTTGTTTACTCTTTTTGTATTTTTACTTTGGGATGGATTTCAATTACTTTAATGAAAACCGTGTTGAATAAATTGGTACATAGTTTAAAATATATTTACTGTAATGTATAAGAGAATAGAACTATTACGAGTCTGATTTTTGAAAATAAAACATTTTTTTCTAACCAAAGTGTCCTGGAACAATGTCCTCATGCTTTTGTAACCGAATAAAGGAATAAACTGTGATTGTTTCTTCAGTTGTGTTTCCACAGCCACCACATGTTCTGTGTGAGTTTGTAAAAAATGGAAAATAAGTCAATAAAAAAAAAACAGCACATCACAGGTGTGTCTGAGGTGCTGACTGCTTTAAACCAGTTGGTCTATTTGAGCCTTAATATGATCTACCCAACTACAGCAGCAGCTCACACAGGAGAAGGAACACTTTTTGACATAACACCGGTCTCACCCAGCTGTCTCTGTTGTGTTTATAACTTTCACTTGTTCACTATATGGTCTCCATTAATCACTCAGACTCCATGTTTACAGCAAACACAGGTAGAACTTGTGCGTCTGGCATGTGCTCTATAAACTGTTTGGTCGCTGCATTAATTATCAGCATCAGTAAAATCAGTTTTGCCCTTTTTAAAATAATATTCTGGTTAAAAATATTGGTTTATATTAGGCGTGCACTGTTTGCAATCTTTGGCCAATCACCGATCTTGAGAAAAGCCAGACTAGCCGATACCAATTTTATCTTAACTAAAAGCAGATTAAGTCACTGTTTCAATTTCCTTTTATTGAGAAAACCAATATGAATACTCATTAAACAATACCAGTTTCAACTGGACATGAGGTAATGTTCTCAAATATAAATGAACATCGCTGTTTGAACTTCAAAATCGCATTTGTTCCTTTAGACTTTCATTTTTCACATTTTGAAAACAAAACTTTTGTACCCGTTTTGACACACTTGTCCAAAACATTTATTCTATAGCAATGATTTATTTTAACATTAATTAGAAGTGCACCAATTGCAGTCTTTGGCCGATCACCAATTATTGATCTTGAAAAAACCCAAGATCAAGGGCCGATAGATCGGTGCACCACTAGTTAATATAAGTATCGGATCAGGACTCGGTATCGGCAGCTACTCAAATTCAAATGACTCAGATCAGGAGCAAAAAATATAAAACATCCTTACCCCTTCTTTCCACGGGAGCCGTCAGCAGCATGTTACTGCAGCAGCACGTCTTGCTCGTGTAAGCTGCTGCTTGGCCCTTCCCACGAGACACGAAGCAGCAGGGGAGCAGCTGTCACCGACAGAGCACGAAGTCACACAAGTGACTTCATCAGTAAACACAACAACAAGCAGGAGAAAATTACAACATGGCTCCAAAAGGTTTGTGTTTTATGTTCTGTCCGTTTTATAATCGCCAATACGGACCTGAAAAACAAAGGAGACCGCTAGCTAGGTGATAATTTCTCATGGGGCCGCACAGCTAGTAACTTTTTTTTAAAGTAAAGCAACCGGAAGGCAGTACGTTTCATTATTCTGAAAATCTCGGGAGCTGCGCTCCGTTTCCGCGTCCGATTTCCTGTCTTTCCTTCCCCAATAATGTCGAACTTGACCCGTTTCAGAGGCGTCGCACGTAGAAAATAGAACCGGCGCATAAAGGTTGGTTTATGCTTGACGCGTCCGCAAGGTTCGCACGGCTCCGCGCGGCGAAACGGCGTAATTTTAACAACCACGCCCCTCCACCGCGCCTCCGCACGGCCCAAAATTTCCACACCGCGTACCTAGGAAATTTTCTAACCACGCGGACGGTCGGACGTGGAAAAACATGGCGGACCGGCAAGAACTAGTATGGCAGAGGTTCGTAAATACAGACATTTGTATGATTCAGCTCTCAGAGATCACCGTGATCAACATGTTAATAATTCTTGGAGAGAAATAGCTCGCACTGTCGGTAAAGACGAGGACGCTGTTAAAAAATGCTGAAATGCCTTGTTGTAAACAGTGATTTCTACTTCTACTATGGTGTAGTGTTGGATGCATGCTGTAGAGCTCCATGCTGCCCCCTACAGTTTGGGAGAATATTGGCTCACCGCAGAGACAAGCCGCATGAACCATAAACGCTGCGAGTTGTGAAGTGCGTTCCATCCGCGAGCCGCATCACCAAGCGGAAAGTGAATGCGTCAAGCATAAACCAAGCTTAAGGGCCACGACATGCTGCTCCTGAGACGCGGCCGACTCGCGCTGCTGACGGCTCCGGTGGAAAAGGTTCTGTTGACCACAGCGGTTCCTATCAGCAGCTATGACGTGCGGCTGCAGTAACGTGCTGCTGACCGCTCCGGTGGAAAGAAGGGGTTAGTTTTAAATGTTATACCCAAGCTTTTAGATGGTGTGATGATCCAAGAACTGTGGAACAAACCACCACTAGATATTAAACAATCATCTACTGTCTGGAGTTTTAAAGCTAAGTTGAAGCAATATTACATATCTAGTTAATTTTATAGTTTTTTGTACTCTTTTTGTTTTTATTGTTTTTCTGGTAATATTCTTGGAATGTTTTTTTTTTGTTTGTTTTCATTGTTTTTAGAAATTATGTGCCTTTTGATTTGATTTGTTTTTAGTGTTTTTTATGTCTTGTAACATCCATATTTTAGTGTGGTCTTTTTGTTGTCTCTGATTTTAATGTATATGATCTATGATTTTATCAGAGGCGCGACCAAGTCACTACTTCGTGAGTCACAAGTAAGTCACAAGTCTTTCCAGTCAAGTCCAGAGTCAAGTCCAAGTCAAAGACAATCAAGTCCAATTTGAGTCCAAAGCCAATGATGTGGAAGTCCAAGTCAAGTCCAAGTCCTTAACTTTGAATTTTCAAGTCATAATCAAGTCCTCTCTCCAACTTCAATTTAGAATAGAATAGACTTTATTGTAATTGCTCATGGAAATTAAATTACAGATGGTCCACCATCAGCAGTGCACAAGACAATAAATAACAATAAATATCAAAACCATAGAGGACTAAAAACAATTTAAAAACATTTAGCAAACACCAAGAAAGTGCAACCAGTGATTCAGATCTGCTAAAACAACAATTTAAAAGGATGTAAAACAGATTAGTCCACATTACTGATGGGGATATGGGGTGTTGCATGGTGCTGTTGTGTTGAATGTTCTGATGGCCCAAGGGAAGAAGCTGTTGGAAAGTCTGGTGGTGTGTGATTTAACTGACCTTAAGCGGTGCCCTGAGGGCAACAGTTCAAACAGGCAGTAGGCAGGGCGGGTGGGGTCACGGAGGATAGCAGCGGTTCTCTTCAGGCAGCGGGTTCTGGAGATGGCCTCAATGGATGGCAGGGTGCAGCCACTAATCCTCTGGGCAGTGTTTATTGTCCTCTGAACAGCCGTCCTGTCCTTAGCAGAGGAGCCTGCATACCACACTCTGAGAGTAGGTGAAGGTGCTCTCCACGGAGCAGTGATAGAAAGCCAGCAGCAGTTTTTGATCCAGGCCACACCTCCTCAAGACCCGGAGAAAGTGCAGCCGCTGCTGAGCCTTTTTAACCAGAGCTCTGGTGTTGGCAGACCGGGACAGGTCAGCAGAGATGATGGTCCCAAGGAACCTGATGGAGGGGACACAGTCCACACGCTCTCCATTTATGAGGAGAGGGGCATGTGTGTGGCTGTGTCTCCTGAAATCCAGAATGAGCTCTTTTGTTATTGGCAATGATAATAAATAAATTCCAAAATAAAAGCTTCTTAAAGCTTCATTTATTTGCTCAAACAAGCAGGAAGTGCAACTGATTATAAACAAAGAGCTGCTGCAGTTAGCCGTACAAGATCAAACCCAGAACCAAGAAGGATTTATGATTTTTTGTCCATGTGGTGCCACTTTTGTGCTAAAATATCAAATTTGCTCAAGTCATCATCAAGTCAACCGATGCAAGTCGATTCAAGTCGTACGTCATTGGCGTTCAAGTCCAAGTCAAGTCGTAAGCCTTTATAGATTTTTTCAAGTCAAGTAAGAAGTCATTAAAATAATGACTTGAGTCTGACTCGAGTCCAAGTCATGTGACTCAGGATTTTAGTATGTATTGCACTTTGGGCAGCCTTGGCTGGTGGCATTAAGGTGCTTAATAAATAAATAAATAAATGAAAAACTGAAATGAAAAACAAAACCCAAGAGTTGGTACAAAACTCTGTGCAGCCATTACATTTTACTTGTACTTCTTCTTGTCCAGCTCGAGTAAAACGTCTCAAAATTGAACCTTTTTTTTAAGCACTGCCAAAACAAAACTCAAATAGAACATTTCAACATCCATTTCACTAATAACACAGTGGGACTAAAAGGTTTCTACATTGACTAAAATTCTGTGCAACCATCCATAAATAATATATTTTTTTACAAGATGGGGATGTAGAGAAGCAGAGATGAAAACTTAGTAAATATGGTATCAACGCAATGGCCCTAAAATGGTTAGCACGTTATTTGAATGAATGATAGGAAACAATATGTACAAATAAATGACATTAAATCAAATCTACGTGATATTACTTGTGGGGTACCACAAGGGTCAGTACTGGGTCAAAAACTATTTATTATGTGTATAAATGATATTGCCTGTATATCAAATATATTAAAATGTATTCTATTTGCAGATGACACTGCCTTTTATTATGCAGGAGATAATATCAAACAGATGAAAAAAATAAAATTATGGCTTGATGGGGATAAACTCATAAAACACTGATAAATCATGTTTCATGATATTTAGTAAAAGTAACTCAAATGATACAAGTCTATTAAATATAGATGATATTAATATTACAAGAGTAAAAGAAGTAAAATTTTTGGGAGTTATAATCGATGAAAATGTATCTTGGAAGCCACATATAAACAATGTGAAAACTAAAATAGCTAAAACAATTGCAATGTTACATAGAGTGAAATGGTCACTGGATGATGACTCCCTATATTTATTATATAATTCACTTATTGCACCATATTTGAACTATTGTATAGAAATCTGGGGCACAACATATAAAACTTATACAAATTCTATCTATATATTGCAAAAAAAGCGATAAGAATCATTACAAGGAGCAATTACAGAGATCCATCGAACCCGTTATTCATAAAAACAAAAACATTAAAATTATTTGACCTAGTGGACTACAATATTTCTATATTTATGTATAATGCAAACAAAACAAACCCTCTTAAAATTTTACTTAGAAGATTTAT